GAAGTAATAATTAATTAAAATACTGATAATTGGGAATTAAATGACCAGCGATTGATTCCCGCCAAGAAATTATCCAAGGAGAAGCTTCTGTTAATAAATTCTCTTTGTCTTCTGTTAAAGGGAGCCAATGGTAAACGATACCTTTTGCCGAATAGAAACGAGACGAGCCGACATTTACCGACAGTAAGATGGCGTCCGGGGAAAAAGAAAAAGAAAATAATATTGCTGTTGAAAGCCTTTCTGTGATGTTTTCTGACAAAGCTCTTGGCGTGTGATTCTTTAGAACCAGTCTGCGAGATCCGATTAAGACCATTCCTCTCCAAGACACAGGGTTCGTTCGCTCGAAGCTTTTTTTTAATCATTGATCTGAGAAAACAATTGTATATCGCTGATAGTTTAGACATTTCACTGTTGAAACTGCTAACCGTGACATATTTGGGAAGATGTACATTAAAAAGATTTAATAATCCAGAACCTAAACTAACAGCATATGAGTTCAGTAAATAAATCAAAATAGAAAGGTTTTGGCGGGAGGAGTTCAGAGCTTTCTCAAGGGTATTTGAACGTATGTGAATATAAGATACCCGACTTGAATTCGAACTTCGATTTTCAGAGACCTCATTCCGATTTGCTAACCATTAAACTACTCGCACATTCACGCATTATTGAGAAAAGCGAACGTAACAGGCGAGAGCGGGATTCGAACTCGGTTCGTCGATTCTAGCTTCTACACTGATAGTCATTATACTACCGACTTGATGGAACTGAAAACTTACTCAATCTTTTTAAGAATACAGAATATAAAGCTAGTGTGTTAAAGTATAATTTTACAGTGACTTCTACCTTGTACAAGGCCAGCGGCCATTCTAGGTAGATTCTTTAAGATGAAGTTTATGCAGACAGAAAGGGGAAGATAATGGTTAACTATGGACTTGAACAGGTCGAGAGTGTAGTGATCAGGGAAACAATTGTTGTGGTGTCCTCACTCTAAAGAGTATGTTTGACTCTTCCGTCTACTATAAGATTAGTAGGAGAGAAGGCCTCGGGGAACAATCGCCCTGATAGTTCATTTCTGTCGAACTCTCTGCCTTGATCAGAGAGGAACCTGGACGAACCTATGCTGAAGGGCAAAGTTTCGTCCGGGGAGGTAGACAGGCCTTGAACCCGTTTATGCGGGTTCTAAGGGAATATTTTTGGCCGAGCCTACGGGCGCAGAGAACCCACGGTAAACTCGGCCTTGTACCACATATAACCCTCGTGGTGGGCTGTTAATTATAACAGTTGCCCTAATTGTTCGTAATTGTCGAACTCTCCGCCTTGAGCAGAGAGGAACTCGAACGAGGCAAGAGTTTCGTCCGGGGAGTTAGACAGGCCCGGACACGCTTATGCGGGTTCTACGGGGATATTTTTGGCCTAGCCTACGGGCTCGAAGAACCCTCGGTAAACTCGGCCTTGTACCATATACGACCCTCGTGGGAGGGAGCTGTTAAATATAACAGTCACCCAGATTGTTCGTACTGTCGAACACTCTACCTTGAGCAGAGACAAACCCGGACAAGGCTTTGCCGAAGGGCAAGAGTTTCGTCCGGTGAGGTAGACAGGCCCTGAACCCGTTTATATGGATTCTAAGGGAATCGGAGAACCCACGGTAAACTCGGCCTTGTGCCACATACATCTCTCGTGGAGGGGGGCTTTTAAATATAACAGTCGAACAGTTCTATTCGCACTGTGCTGGTCAAACTCTCTGCCTCCGGGCAGAGAGGATCCCCAGACGGGGCACTGTCGAAAGGCACAGTCTCGTCTTGGGAAGCAACTACCCAACTCCGTTTTATATAGGGTCGATAGGGAATTTTTGGCCGAACCTACGGGCTCGGGATTGCCCCACATTAAACTCGGCCTTGTGCCAATTCATACCTAGTGGGGAGGCTGGTAAACAGTCGAATAGATTGAACGCTGGGTCAACCGACAATCACTCACTAGTCGTGTAATACTCTTCTGTTGTACTTACTGTTTAATATATGATATATCTGCAGCACTTGTTTTGTTATTTCTTTAACCATTTTACTTGGTCACAACAGTAATCTAGGGAGTTGGTTCCACAGGGCAGTCCATCACGTATGGTACATAACTGACTGATCTGAGAAAGCAATTGTATATCGCTGATAGTTTAGACATTTCACTGTTGGAACTTCTGGCTAACCGTGACATATTTGGGAAAGATATTAGAGTAATCAAGAACCTATACTGGTATACAGATAGAAAATAAATTCAGTAGATATACAAAAAGAGAAAGGGGTGTAAGACAAGGATGTCTCTTCTCACCGGACTTATTCAAACTATACAGTGAAGCTATTCTGAGAGAACTAGAAGTCCTACCAGGATTCATTATTGGCGGTCACAATCCTAAGATATGCAAATGACACAGTATTCATAGCATCCACAGAAAGTAAACTGCAAGGACTCCCATAGAAGGTAGTGAAGGAAAGCAAGAAGAAAAGACTAAGCATCAATTGCAAGAAGATAGAATGCATGGTTGCTAGCTAAAGGAACAGCCTATCATGCAAATTACAAATTGGAGATACCAAAATCAAGTAAGTACATCAGTTTAAACATCTGGGAAGTGTTTTAGCAGAGAACGGAAAGTGCGACATTGAAGTCCTAAGGTGCATTGTATAGCGAAATTGCCTTCAGAAAGCTGAGTAAAGTATGAAGAAACAGGAAAATTTCGTTAGAAACGAAGAAAAAACGTTCTGAACTGATACGTAATAACAGTTTTCCAATATGGCGGTGAATTCTGAACAATTTCATCTCAGATGAAGAAAAGATTTGAAGAAAAAGAAACGAGGTTCTACAGAAGGATGCTGAGAATAACATGGACTGAACATGTGAGCCAAAGCGAATTCTTAGAGGAAATAGAAACAAAACGGGTGCTTACTACTTAACATAAGAAAGAGACAGTTAAAATGTCTAGGGCGCATAATAAGGAAAGAGAGCTTGGAAAATTTGATACTCCCAGGGCAGATTGAAGGAAAAAAAGACAGAGGAAAACAACGCATAATATATTTAGTGAGATGAAGTAAATGGATGGCGGAACAAGGTTTACGAGTGATAACAATATATATATTGAATATATATATACTGAATTGGCAGTTTTCCATTGATCAAAGAAATGCAGGTTCGATTCTTGTTTTTATGTAAAGTTTCATTCAAGAAAGACTTTCGATCTGTAGGCCAGTAGATATTAATTTAAAAACTGGAGATATCTAATCAAATACGAGTATCTATGAGATATAACCGACCCTACTCTACTGTGCAGTAGACAAAATCAAAAGCATGCGCGAAAGTAAAAATATAAAAAGGTAACAATTGACCCATCGCACCACACACACACACACACACACACACACACACACACATATATATATATATATATATTAGATTACCTTTCTAAAAATAGTTACAAATTACATTCATGAATTAGATTCAAACTGATAAAGATGTTACCTTAAAAGTCATTTGCAATATTAAAAGATTACTATCAGTAAACTGTTATATTTAAAAAAAATTCTTTTAATGTGTTCTCTATGAATGTGGTAATAAATACAGTACTTAAGTTATATTAAATCCCTAAGTTATTTGTAAAAGAGTTAAATATTTAAATTGCTAGCAAGCATCAAATTAATTTCTTCGTGGTTTTTTTGAACATTTAAATTACTATCTAACATTAAAACCAATTTTTTTGGCATAAATTGCTAAAAATATACCACCCACTTCTTCCTACGTAAAACCTAATTACAGCTTCTTTCTCGTTACTTCCCCCTTCTTTCTTTTTTCTTTTTCTTTTTCTCTCTTCTCCCATCTCATTTTAATATATCACTTCCGTTAAGTTAACCGTTTAAATAGGTCAAGGTCTGGTCCATCCTCCCCAACACTAAGTATGATAGAAAGAAATATTAAAATAAACCCTCTCTAAACTCGACCATGTCTCTCCCACCATTCCTCGCTACCCTCTCTGTTAAATTACATAAACTTGATACTACCCGTCAAAGGTGTGCATTTTCATTTCATCTTTCATTTCATTTTTGGAAGTGTTATCTGGTGATCCAGCGTCCCTTAAAAGGGCGCTGGTGAAATAAATTATTATAATGGAACCTTAAATTGGTCTATTTTTCTTTCTTTCTTTCTCTCTCTCTCTCTCTCTCTCTCTCTCTCTATATATATATATATATATATATATATGAAGAAATATAGTCTTAAGGTATGCTACTTTTATGGGATAAAGTGCTCAATATCAGAGATAGAGCAGATTGTAAAATATAAAAGTGAACATAGAAGTCAACACTGCAAACGACAGTCTGTGGCATGACGATTGCAAACGTCATGAAACAGACTGGCCTGACGATGTTGACTTTATCACATTTTTTATATATATATATATATATATATATGTATATATATATATATATATATATGATTTTTTTTTTTTTTTTTTCATCTTTCGTTTCATTCTTGGAGGTGTTTTCTGATGATCCAGCGTGCCTTAAAAGGGCTCTGGTGAAATAAATTATTATAATGGAACCTTAAAGTGATCTGGTTTTCTTTAGCTCTGGATTTACATTGAGCTCCCAGGATTTCATCCTCCTTGGGACTACCCATACGGATTACCAAGTTTTCATAACTTATATATATATATATATATATATATATATATATATATATATATATATATATATATATATATATATATATATATATATATATAACTTTTGATTTCTAGGCCAGTAGATATTAATTTAAAAAATGAAAATATCTACCTCAAATACGCGTACCTACTAGATATAACTGACCCAAATATAATGTGCAGACGACAAAATCAAAAAACAAACAACTCATTGCACTATATATATATATATATATATATATATATATATATATATATATATATATATATATATAAGAGATGTGGATATGTAATAGAAGTGGATGAAGATATGTAATAGATGTGCGTCTCTCTTTTTATATCTCTGTCTGTCTGTTTGTCTATCTATCTATCTATCTATCTATCTATCTATCTATCAGATACATCTATCTATCTATATATACATATATGTATATAATAGATGTGTGCATTTTTATTCAAGAAAGACTTTTGATCTCTAGGCCAGTAGATATTAATTTAGAAAATGGAGATATCTACTCAAATGCGCGTTCCTATTAGATATAGCGCTATTTTTTTAATCATTTCACTGCAAGCAAGGCAATAAAGACACTCAGACGCAAGGGATTACTGAATGTGAAATAATATGGGGAAAAAGAAAAAAACATTATTGTGGCAATTCCCATCTAATAGAGAAACGGAATCTGTGTGGTGTCATGTTCGATTACCCTCTCAAGGGATACGTCATTTAAAAAAATTATCGTCGTATGCTTCATCTTTTGCCTTTGTACCACACTGAGTCAAGTAAACTGAATAACAATGAGCAAAAGTTTAATATAAAAGACCTGGGAGAGGCGTGAATCACCTATCGCTCGGTTCACACTCCTCTCCACTCTTTTGAAAAGGTTGCATTTGTGTCTTTTCTATAAATACTTTCATGGTAATTTTTCCGATGAGCTCTTCCCTATAGTATTTGTAAATATACATTGGGTGTTAAATGTTTGAATATTCACCATAGACAAGAATTGTAAATATGGGAACTATTTATGACTTCATAGAGACAATGAGGTATTACGGTGGATGTTGTAAGAATGGTAAATAGTCTTGCATATTGGTGTAAGGCATATTGTGGTATGTTTTGGTCAGTGATTGTGGCTAGCCAAGTTTGATGTTAAGACTGAAGACCATCCTATTTTCTCTTTCACCATTTTGGCCTTGTGCCATATGTTGTGGAGAATTTAACTGTTTAGGCGGGAGAAAAAACAATGTACTTACCTGGGTTGTTGTTTCTTACTAACTAAAAGTGGTTACGTTTTTACTAAATTTTTATAGTTACAGGGGCCACGTGACTTTATTACCACGTGATCGCTGAAGTAGTTATAAGGGAAGTGTTTTTTTTTCTTTTTATTTTCATATTTTACTTAATGCAAGTTATTTCACGGTCACGTTACAGAAAGGTATCTTATTTCGCAACTTAAGATAAGTGCTTTTACTTCTTTTCCTCGTCCTGAACTGTCTCTAGATTTTTTGGAGTTGAGATTTTCTCGACAATTTCTGTACATAATGCAGAATAAATATCGCTCTTCGCTGTGATACCTAAACTTCATGAATTTAAGCGCGGTAATATACAGGCGTCGAGATCTCGTTAATTTACAGTTGAGTTGGCTAGATATAAATTTTATGCTAACGGTTTCTTTACTCATTCCTCTTGCTCGTGGAAATTCCTTCCTGCTCCATATTTTCCAGCCAAATTTAATCTGCAATAGTTTAAATGCAATGTCAATCGCTATCTACTATTCTCCTGATTAAACTTTTCTCTTTCTACTCATTACTAAAGTTTCTGTTCCTAATTCTTCTACACCTTGTAACCTTTTGTGTCTTAGTGGCTTTACAGCCTTGCTTGTAGAACTCCCTACCGGCTCCATGCTTTCCTGTCAAGTTTAATCTTCAAATATTTAAATTCAATATCAATCGCTAACTACTGTTCCCTTGATTTTGCTTTCTTCTTCCCGCTCATTATTAATATTTCTGTTTCTAATTCTTCCACGCTATGTAACCACTTGTGTCTTAGTGGCTTTACTCCCTTGTTCCGGCTCCATGCTTTCAAGCCAACATTAATCTGCAAAAATTTAAATGCAATGTCATTCGCTATCTACTATCGTCCTGATTACTCTTTTCTCTTCCCGCTCATTAATGTTTCTGTTCAAATTCTTCCACTCTGTAATCTCATGCGTCTTAGTGGCTTTATTGCCTTGATTGGGGTGATACCGATTAAAAAAAGTGTAGAGGTTTATAATTTGTTTCCTGTTTAAGATTGTGCTTCCGGTCCCTTCTAAAGTCTCCTCATTCTTTTTTACTCCCATTAGCCCCTTGCATCTTAGTGGCATTATCGCCTTGCTTGTGGCGAATTGATTATTCAATATATATATATATATTGAATATATATATATATGTATATATATATACATATATATATATATATATATTGAATATATATATATATATCACAAGAAGAGGTGTTTCCCATAGATATTGAGGGCACCGATGGACAAACAAATGGACCAACTTATAAAAGTTAAAATAGATAAGTCAATAATATGTATTTATGCGTTTTAATATCGCAGAGATGTCAATGGAAAGGGGAAATGTTGCGATTTCAAAGGAAAATAAATCTTACACGATCTGTTGACAAATGTATGATGTTTCTCGCAACGACACAGCTATCTATCTCAGTCTGTTCATATCTATCTATCTATCTATCTATCTATCTATCTATCTATCTATCTATCTATCTATCTCAGTCTGTTCCTATCTATCTATCTCAGTCTGTTTCTATCATTTATCTAAGTCTGTTCATATCTATCTATCGATCTATCTATCTATCTATCTATCTATCTATCTATCTATCTATCTATCTATCTATCTATCTATCTGTTATGGTCCAGGTTAGGACCAAGGAAGAACAACACGAAAACAAGAATAACGAAGGTATATTTCATGAAATAATAATACAAGATGTGGAAGGTGTTAGTATGACTGTCAGTCTAGTTTGGAGTGAACTACTATCGGCTCGACTCGATTCGTCCCTCTCTCTTGAGAGGCGTAGTATACATAGTGTTAGGAAGAGTTCATTCTGTAGTTATTGGTAAGGACACACACACACACACACACACACACACACACTCTCTCTCTCTCTATCTATCTATCTATCTATCTATCTATCTATCTATCTATCTATCTATCTAATTCTTTCTCATTCTTTTTTTATCTCTTGATATTTCCTATTTGTACTTGATTACCTTCCTGTCCCTTTTAGCTCTTAATAATTTTTCTCTTGCTATTTCTCCCAAACTCTGCTCTATCATCGATTTACTCAACCCATCAAATATGTTACGCACTACTTTCATCTGTTCCCTTTATCCCTCAATTTGTCCTGTGAGTATCAAATTTTCCAAACCCTCCGTCATTACAACCCCCACCCCGAAAACCTCAACCACCTCATTCCTTTTTGTTTTAATTTTCTCTAAAACCTCGTTGTTGATCGCAAGTTTGGTCCATGGTATACTCAGCATCCTTCTGTAGAACCACATTTCTGCTGCTTCAAGTCCTTTCTTCATCTTTGAGGAGATTGTCCAGCATTCAATGCCATACGGGAGGACAGATATCACGTAACAGGTTAGTACTCTTTTCTTTGTTTCTGTTGCTTCAAGTCTCTTCTTCATCTTTGAGGAGATAGTCCAGCACTCACTCGCTGCCATACAGGTGGACAGATATCACGTAACAGGTTAGTACACATTTCTTTATTTATAAAAAAAACAGAACAAAACAAAAAAAACCTGCATCTCTCAGCAAAACGAAACATTTTATCCAACTCCAGAGTCGGAAGCTCGAGACAAACTATTTTATACATAAACAACAGACAAATAATTCCCCTCAAACGTAAGCTACACAATCTTTTCCGCCACAGCAGACAGAAGAAGATTGGTAATCGGAAGCGTATTTACAACATCTCTGGAGCTAATATCAGTAAGACGGAGACAAGACATTTAAAAAAAAAAAAGGCACCATAATCACTTTAACCAAAAACAAATTTAACCACAGTGGCTTTGAAAACGCTTTTATGTAATGTATCATATCAGCCACTCTTATCAATAACGAAAAAACACCACCACCCAGGATATACCCCCTGGCACTAAAAAAAAAACAATCTATGGATAAAAACATGATCATAACCCCATATGGTAAAGGGATGTTTCTTCTGCTATTTTACCCATAGTTGGGGAGAGATGGATTCATAGCTTTCCCAAGGGTATTTGCACATAAGTGTAATGAATGTAATCAACTCGGCTTTCCGATTCCTGGTTTACCCATTAATCCACTGTGCACCGGGATCAAAATTTACAAAAACTGATACCTATTTGCATCCAGTTCATCAATGAAACCGGACTAAAAAACAACCATCCCAGCTCCGAATCTTTTCGAATAGCCTCCATTGTTGACAACGAACGTCATCATGGACACCAACAACTACATGGAAAAATGAATCTCTTAAATGATTATGACTGAAGTGATTCATTTGTATATGAAGTCACAAAGACTATGAATACCGACAGCTATTACCCATGAGGCAGTTGAGTGCATACTACTTCCCGCGAGTAGGTAACATTACAACAACCATATCACTTACGAAAAAAACAACAACTAATAGACAGTAAATTCAACAAAACAGTGAAGAACTTGTTAATAAATGAAAACAAAACCTATAGTTGGGGAGAGATGGCTTCATAGCTTTCCCAAGGGTATTTGCACATAAGTGTAATGAATGTAATCAACTCAACTGGCATTCGAACTCGGCTTTCCGATTCCCGGTTTATCCATTACTCCACCGTGCACCGGGATCAAAATTTACAAAAACTGATACCTATTTACATCCAGTTCATCAATGAAACCGGACCAAAAAATAATCACCCCAGCTCCGAATCTATTTGAATAGCCTCCATTATTGATAACGAACGTCATCATGGACACCAACAACTACATAATGCAGAATAAATATTGCTCTTCGCTGTGGTACCTAAACTTTATGAATTTAAGCTCAGTACTAAACTGGCGTCAAGATCTCATCAATTTATAGTTGAGCTGGCGAGATGTAGCCATAAATTCTATGCTAACAGTTTCTTTATTCGATTCTAGTGGAAATTCTTTCAGGCTTCATGCTTTCCAGCCAACTTTAATCTGCAAAAATGGAAATGCAATGTAAATCGCTATCTACAGTACTCCTGATTACTCTTTCCTTTTCCCGCTCATTATTAATGTTTCTGTTCCTAATTTTCCCATAACCTGTAAACCCTTGAGTCTTAGTGGCTTTACTGCCTTGCTTGTGAAACTCCTTTCCGGCTTCATGCTTTCTAGCCAACTTTAATCTTCAAAAATGGAAATGCAATGTCAATCGCTCTCTACTGTCCTCCTGATTACTCTTTCACCTTCCCGCTCATTATTAATATTTCTGTTCCTAATTCTTTCACACCCAGTAACCACTTGTGTCGTAGTGGCTTTACTGCCTTGCTTATGGAACTCCCATCCGGCTCCATGTTTCCAGCCAACTTTAATCTGCAAAAATTGAAATGCAATATAAATCGCTGTCTACTGTCCTCGTGATTACACTTTTCTCTTCCTGCTCATTATTAATGTTTCTGTTCCTAATTCTTCCACTCTTTTATCCCTTGTGTCTTAGTGGCTTTATTGCCTTGATTGGGGTGATACTGATTTTAAAAAAAGTGTAACGGTTTATACTTTGTTTCCTGTTAAAGACTAAGTTTCCAAAATTTACAAAAACTGATACCTAATTTGCATCCAGTTCATCAATGAAACTGGACCAAAAAATAATCATCCCAGCTCCGAATCAATTCGAATAGTCTCCATTGTTGATGACGAAGGTCATCATGGATACCAATAGCTACATGGAAAAATGAATCTCTCTTAAATGATTATGACTGAATTGATTCATTTATATATGAAGTCACAAAGTCTATGAATACCGACGACTATTACCCATGAGGCAGTTGAGTGCATACTACTTCCCGCGAGTAGGTAACACAACAACAACAATGTCACGAAAAAACCAACGAATTTGACAAAACAGTGAAGAACTTGTTAATAAATGAAAACAAAACCTGGACTAGATAAATAGAATACCATCCTACAACTGTCACACTATATGTCAGTCAGTTATGTGCCATGCGTGATACGCGCTTAGGCGATCATGTTTTAGTTTTTATAAGGTCTATTATTTTATTCTTTTTATAAGGTCCATTATTTTTTCTTTTTATAAGGCCTATTATTTTATCTTTTTATAAGGTCTATCATTTCATTTTTTTATAAGATCCATTATTTTATCTTTTTATAAGGTCCATTATTTTATCCTTTTATACGGCCCATTATTTTATTTTTTTATAAGGTCTATTACTTTATCTTTTTATAAGGTCTATTATTTTATTTTTCATAAGGTCCATTATTTCATCTTTTTATAAGGTCCTTTATTTTTTCTTTTTATAAGGTCCATTATTTTATCTTTTTATATGGTCCATTATTTTATCCTTTTATACGGCCCATTATTTTATCTTTTTATAAGTTCTATAATTTTATTTTTTTATAAGGTCTATTATTTTATTTTTTTTATAAGGTCCATTATTTTATCTTTTTATAAGGTCCATTATTTTATCCTTTTATACGGTCCATTATTTTATTTTTTTATAAGGTCTATTATTTTATCTTTTTATAAGGTCTATTATTTTATTTTTGATAAGGTCCATTATTTCATTTTTTTATAAGGTCAATTATTTTATATTTTTAAAGGTCTATTATTTTATCTTTTTATAAGGTCCTTTACTTTATCTTTTTATAAGTTCTATTATTTTATCTTCTTATAAGGTCCATTATTTTATTTTTTTATAAAGTCTATTATTTTATCTTTTTACAAGGTCTATTATTTTTTCTTTTTATAAGTTCTGTAATTTTATTTTTTTATAAGGTCCTTTATTTTTTTTTTTAAAAGGTCTATTATTTTATTTTTTTATAAGGTCCATTATTTTATTTTATTTTATAAGGTTCATTATTTTATCTTTTTATAAGTTCTATAATTTTATTTTTTTTATAAGGTCTATTATTTTATCTTTTTATAAGGTCTATTATTTTATTTTTTTATAAGGTCCATTATTTTATCTTTTTATAAGGTCCATTATTTTATATTTTTATAAGTTCTATTATTTTATCTTTTTATAAGGTCTATTATTTTATCTTTTTATAAGGTCCATTACTTTATCTTTTTATAAGTTCTATTATTTTACCCTTTAAAAGGTCCATTATTTTATCTTTTTATAAGGTCCATTACTTTATCTTTTTATAAGGTCCATTACTTTTTATTTTTTTTTATAAGGTCCATTACTTTATCTTTTTATAAGGTCCATTACTTTATTTTTTTATAGGGTCCATTATTTTATAATTTTTTAAGTTCTATTATATTTTGCTCTGTATCATACTTTGAACTCTCTTATGGACTAAAAGTCAATTTGGGAATAATCCTACAAATTACTATTTGGTATCATATATATATATATATATATATATATATATATATATATATACAGTATGACTGATGAGAGACATCGAAAGATACATGATCACCTAAGCGTGTATCACGCATGATACATAACTGACCGAATGACCTATATATATATATATATATATATATATATATATATATATGAAGAAATATAGTCTTAAGATGTGCTATATTTATAGGATAAAGTGCTCAATATCAGAGATAGAGCGTCTGTAGATATAAAAGTGAACATAAAAGTCAACACTGAGAGGCGACAGTCTGTTTCTAGCATGAAACAGGCTGTCGCCTCTAAGTGTTGACTTCTATGTTCACTTATATATATATATATATATATATATATATATATATCGTTTGATCTGGGATTTAATTTGTACAGGATTTCGATAGACGAGGCAGATTTTTTCCCCGCAGTAGGTTGCGATTTCTTTCTGCGGTAGACCAGTTGCCATCCAAGGCTATAAAACCCGATCTGTCCTGCTATTTAAGTTGAAGGGAGAAAAAGAGGATTCATACCTTTCCCAAGGTTATTAGCACGTCAGTGAATGTAATGGATTCGACTGCAATTCGATCGCGGGTCTCCGAATCCTCAATCCGAGCCGCTATCCATTACTCCACCGACCTATATGCCTTTCCCCGAAACACACAGACGCAGCATACCGATTGTATTCGGAATGAACAGCCCATCCCACAAATTAGCTAAAATAATTGCAAAAAGTTCTATTTCCGTTCCTAGGCATAATCAACCCAACATAAATTTAAACACTTTAGTGATCTAATCCAGAGGATAAGAAACATGGAAAACGAGGCTATCTTCTCAAAATCACCTATCGAGCGGCATTTAAGCTAGTTCCTACGGAGGGCTCTTGATTGGGCCTTCGGCTTCTTCAGGAGTTTGAGAGTCCTTAAGTCTTTGCATATTCTCAGCATTGAAAGCTGCCCTGGCTGCCGTTTGATCTGGGTTTTCACTTGCAGGGGATTTTCTTTTTCTCTCTGTACCCTGGGCTCTTCTGATTGCAATATAGTCCCCTGTTGGCGGAGATTTCTTTTTACGAGGCATACTACTGCCGTATGCAATAGGCAACAATAAACTACAGAAGAACTCAAAATTGATCGCTGCATTTAAGTATTGCATTAATATTTAAGCTTACCTTTTAACAGTTCAACGATAATTCTTCTGTTACCATTTTATTTAAAGACAATCTGATGTACGTAGGTCCTAGAAAATGTGTCTTTCTAAATGGTATAGTACATCAGGCGATATAACGGTTCTGAGTAGGATGTAGTTTCGATTCCTGCTAGAGGACACATATTTTCTATGAAATTTATCGGGGATTCAAACCGGTAAATCTTGTTAATACTGTTTATTATAAACAGAACATTTACTTAAATAGTTTTATCTAAAAAATGAACTATAAACTGAAAATATATTAAAATAATTGTTGGATTTAGTTCATTTAATAATTTTTGATGTCATTTGTTGACGTTAAGATAGGCTTCGAGCAGATATGAGCGTTCGAGAGAAATCATGTGAAATTTGTTGTTTAAAAACAGTAACTTGACTTTGCTAACTAGTCGCTTCCTCTGTAGCTAAATGTTATAGCACGTCAGGCTATATGACGGTTCCTCTCGGGGAACACATGTTGATTCCTGTCGGAGGACGAATATCTTCTATGAAATTTCTCGGATATTCAGGCCGGTAAATCTTGTTAACACTGTTTATTATAAACAGAGCATTTACTTAAATATTTGTATCTATAGAAATAACGTATAAACAGAAAATATATTAAAATAATTGTGGGACTTATTCCATTTCATATATATATATATATATATATATATATATATATATATATATATATATACACGAATCCCTCGATTAATGCATGTTCAATTAGTGCGCTAAAATTTTTTTAAATAATAAATACTTTTTGTTATATCACTTTATATACACACATATATATTACATAGCCATTATTGATAACACACACAGGCACGCACGCGCGCACACACACATACACAAACACACACACTCTCTCTCTCTCTCTCCCTCCTTGACTCTCTCGTCGAATTCGACGTATCAGGGTCAAGCAGATCAGTTCCTAGGAAACCGACAGTCCGACAACAGCACATGAGATTTGATTATAGTGGTGAAGGTCTCGTGCAGGATCATCCACACTTTTTGAAGGGCCAAATACAGAGACCTGGTGCACTAAGTGCCACAAGGTCTCCAAACGACCCTCCAAAGGCTTTGAATTCAGAGTTGTCCTTCTTCTAGACCAGGTGCCATCCAAGGCTATAGAATCCAGTCTGTCCTGCTATTTACCCATAGCTGGGGGGAGAAGAAGAGGATTCACACCTTTTCCAAGGGTATTAGCGCTTAAGTGAATGTAATAGATTCGACTGAATTCGAACTCGGCTCCGATTCCTCAATCCAAGCCCCTATCCAACACACACACACACACACACACACACACACACACACACACACACACACACATATATATATATATATATATATATATATATATATATATATATATTGAAAATAGTATGACAAATTGTGATGACTTTTGTGATTCGTTTCATCCGTTATGATTTCATCGGATAAAACCGATCAGAAACACGTTTTTCCAATTTGTCATACTATTTTTCTAAATACTGTTTGTTGATATATAAAATTATATACCGTTATGTTATATATATATATATATATATATATATA